AGGTCATTTTGACCAAATTTGACTTAATCCTCATTTCGATATGATGGGTCACATATTGCTGCAGTCCTACCCAACTGAATGATGCCATTTTTTGTCTTGCTTTTAGCACTTGTTTCACCTGTGACTAAAGTTTGTTTCGAACCGATCCTAGACCATGGTGACACCTCTGACGCAGCGCTACTTCAGCCTGGGCGAGCTGGGAAACAGTTTGATGTACAGCCTGTGTGGGGTGGAGGTCATCCTGGGCTTCTTCTTCGTGCGCTGGCTGAGCAGGAAGGTGGAGGACCGCGCGGTGCTGGCTGTGGGCCTGGTCATCTGCTGTGCCGCCTGTATCTGGTGCCTCGCTTTCCTCTGCAACCCCCGAGGTGCCAACCTGCCTGCACTGACACACAAACACACCCAGATCCACACGCACGACCTCTGCRCCGCCTCTGTCCCTGAGCCAGCCTCTGTCTGCGTGACTCGTGTTGGTGTGCAGAGCTCAGAGGAACCATATTGGGTTACGCCGTGGATGAAGCTCCGTAAATGATATCATGCGAGCTGTGACGAGCCAGCAGGCGATCACACAGGCAGGCCAGATCCTCTGTGTTCACGTTGGCCTGCGTCTGCTGCAGCTCGTCACGTTTATCGCTCTGATTACAAGTGGCAGGTGCTGGATCCGAGCACTGCCTGGGTACATATAAGGGATTATAGTAATCCAATTAGAGAAAAATGCTGTTTGTTAAAGCGTAGCCTGCATTTGTTCCCTGTTTGTTACAGTGAAACACTCCAACAAGCAAAAGCATCAAACTTATGACAGACAGACACCTGAGGTGAAGTGATTTCTTGGGTTGGACCTCTAAGAAACTGGTTTAATTGGCAAAATTGCCTTTTCATCATGGGATTATAGATGTGCAGCTCAAACGGGAACATCCAAACATTAGTGTGGGCAGGAATTCACACAAACATGTGCATGATGCAAGACGGCAGAGAACAAAAATCCACTGCTGCCAGCTTGGCACGGGTCTCATTTTCAGACAGAGCTATCTGTGCTGGTGCCAGCCTGGATGTGGAGGGAAGTAAAAACCAACAGGAATGAAAAGTAACTGAGGAATAATCTGTAATCCTGTTCACAAAACAGATATTCAAATAAATCCTCACATCTATTGAACTGATAACATTAGACTGAAGTAAAAACAAGTAATTCCTTCAGTCTGAGGTGGTTTTGGTCTGTGACAGGTGGATATGAATGGAAGCTGTCTGCCTTCATCATCGGGGTCTTCCTCCAGCTGCTGGGTCTTCCCTTCGTCGCCGTGTCTCAGGTGTCGCTCTTCTCTAAAGTCACTGCTGAGAAAACACAGGGTACCTTTTTATCTTTACCTAAATGTAATGATTTTAATGCTAAAGTCTCTTTCCAACAAATTAAAATTGTAGAGAAGCTGTAGTGTGAAGGCTGAGAGATTTAGCTGAAAGCAGCTGAAATGAAGCTGAAAATGTTCAGCAGCAAAACTGTTGATGTGTGTTGAATTTGAATGGCTGGCTTTTGCTGAAAGTACTACAACAAAAGTGAAAAATAAGTAGAAAAATAGCAAAAAAAGCTAAAACAACTAAAAAATGCTACAAAAAGTAGCTAAAATTTTTCAAAAAGAAGCTAAAAGTAAATGAAACTATAAATCAACAGATGGGGAAATGAGAGTAAGAATTTTCTAATCAACAACAAATAAGACAAGAAGTACAAAAAACTTGTGATTTGTTTAAAATAGCTAAAAAAGCATGAATTAGCCTAAAAACAGATGAAAAGTAGCTGAAACAGCTGAAATTAACACAAAAAAGAGAGAGCATATTTGCTGAATTATGCAGTAAGAAGCTGAAATTAGCACAAAAATGTGAAAAAACTGAAATGAGCAAAAAGAAGCTGAAAAAAGGCACAAAATATAAATAAGCTAGAGAATAACTGCTCCAGCAGTCTAAGTCTACAGCATCAGAAATGAGGAATAATTCAGGAAACCTAAGTCTAATTATAAGATTTATCAAAAAGGAAAGTCTTCAGTCTAATCTTAAAAGTAG